CATTTTTTGTTCCATATGAATTTTCCATTCTTCATTTTCCAATCTTCCTTCCGTTATAAAAGCAGAACAGAGCACAAAAATACACACTCTTTGAAGACAAATCATGCTGATAAATGTACGACGTATAGAATTCTTCCTTATCACAAGACCTCATTTTGCAAGACTATGACCGTCAGATAAAGTATGCCTATCCCTCCGATCATTCTATATATATATTTTTTTAAAAATATCTATGGATGCACTTTACGGATATGCAAAGTAATAAATTTCAAATGTAATCCAGAGTTCAGGACCAAATGTTAAAACGAACTAAATATCTTCATATTTATGTGAGGTACGTTGGGATGAGATGCCTTGGACCACATTTCCTGGGTGGACGACCAGGAATAAATTCGGGAGGCGCTAGTCCTGCCGACCAGCTTTTGATACGGATGCCTTTATCTATAACATTGAAATCGCTTCAACGTTTACGATGATTTATGTCATCTGGATTTTATAACAAACAGTTAGTACTTGTTTGAACGTTTAATCTAAAAATTTGCTGCGTTGGTTTAAAAATAGTTTAAATACAGTTCATAACAACGTTTATTGTGGGTCTTCTTCTGTTTAAAAAGATGTTGAAAATATTTCAATAGGACCATGGAGCAGTGTGAGACATTTTCATCGTGCCAACGCTTACTGTGCCATGGATTCTCAATATTTAATGTTCAAACTGAAAAAAACCGTGCCTTTCACCACTAGTTCCGGGCGATTATCAAAGGAAAAATACTACCTATGTTTACGTCGTAGGTTTACGAGGCAAAGCTAACGAGAAGCAAACCTAGATCTAGACCTTCCGATTACGAAGCGAACTGAAAGAAGCATCAATTCAATAAAAGTTGAATTACGTCTATTTTATTGTGTAACACATTGTTTAAGCTATCTGGAACCCTGCAAAGGACCATCTTCCCGACTCGTTGCTGTGAAAGGAGCCTTGACCTGCACCTTTTGACATTATCAGCACAACGTCTCCAGCTTGTAACATTAGAATGGCGAATCCAGTTGACATTTCCTCTTCCCAGTTTGCCTCCGTATCAGCATGAATGGAACCTTTGTACGCACCGTTATGAACCAATTGGACAGACACTTCGCCGTAGTCGCCCGACTCCCCCGCAACATGTTCACCGGCAGCATAAATAGTGTAGCAAAATGCATAAACCCCCGTGGTGGGCGCCGTGAAAGCTCCAGAATGTTGGCTGTACGCGTTTCCGTAATTCGTAACCACAGTATCATAGAGAAAAACGTGATCCACGCCAACTCCACCGAAGTCTTTTGAAATGTAGGCATAAAATGCTACATGACCCTCGGCCAAACCTGGTGAAAGGAATCTTCGCATTGGGCCCTTGTTGGATTCTTTAATAGACACAACTGAAATTCTAAAAATGGTCACTATGAGCATTAAATTAGTTTTTCTGCTCATTGATTCATTTACTATTATATAATAAAGCATCAATGTACTAACTCGGATTAATGCATGCAAATTAAATGATACAATAAGAGACGTGTTATTAAATTAAACCTTTACAATTTTACTCGTACTAGTGAATTGTCAGAAGCAATCATAGACAGAAAGTTAAAACTATTCCTTTTCATATAATTTTTTCTTATATATTTAAAATAAATTGACATGTACAAACTCCATTTCTATGAACTAGGTTTGAATTACCAAAGATATACTTAATTCCTAATTTGAAACTTCATAAAAATCCTTAACTTCCAGTTAATTTTCTACCAATTAAGTCTTTTTCTTTGCACATTATCAATAAAATATATTCAGCAATGAGGTAAAAACTTCATGAGTATTGTAAACATTATATACTGGTCACAGTAGCCTAGTGGTAGAGCGTTCGCTTCGTGATCTAGAGGCCCGGGTTCGATTCTCGTTCGCGGCGCCGCGTCAAACCTAAGACCTAAACATAGGTAGCGACTGTTCCCTCGAGCGTTCGCTTCGTGATCTAGAGGCCCGGGTTCCGCTCGCGCAGACCTAAACATAGGTAGCGACTGTTCCCTCGCCAAGCGCTTGGCACTAAAGGTGGAAGTCACGGGTCTCTCGGATATGACTGTAATGTTACCACATGAGACTGTGACTTTCAACTGACTTTATTGATAACAATCATTTCTATATAACAGCATTATAATTGCATTCTTAGCATATAGAATTACAACACGTGCAAAATACAGGAAACATATATCACTTGGAAAGGCTGACTCAGTGTTTCAGAGTTTGTTGATAACCAAATTTAATTGACGTAACTTTACTATAATTATAAATGTCAAAGCTTATAAAGATAAACCTTCCAATATCATTACAATGACCTTAAATCGTAGGTCCCGTGTCATGGTAAGCGTTGGCTAGATAAAGAACCCTCACTGGTCAATGGCCCTGGGTGCCGAGTATAGGTCTGAATTTGAAGCCCTTCCCCGGCATACTGTGACGTCTCTGTATGAGTGAAAATTTCTCGAATGAGACGTTGAACAATATACAATTAATCAATGTACACAATATATTTCAGAAATGGTGCTAATGAAATACGGATACTTAAACCTCCAAGGTACTTTTAGGAAATTTTAAAACATATAATTTTACCGAACCGATATCATCAAAACCTACTACTTTTCAGCACGTTATACAATCATTCCATGCGATAGCAAAGTCCTGGCTTTTTGACATACTTCTTCAACAAAAACGGAAAAAAGTCGAATACTCATTAGCTTACACCATTTGATGATAAAATAACTATAATTCCAAACTCTACCTGCGTCATGCATGGGTCTCTTAACATCCACATTTCCGACTTCCCCCTCTGCTTTATTGATCGTGCTGTTAACTTCGTCCGTTCGGTCCTCCACAATACCCAATCCAGATTTACTCTCAAGAAATTGGACTTTGCTTTTTAGATTTTTTATTTCTATATATTGCATCTCAATGGATTTTGATTGTTTTTCAATGACTGTATTTTGTCTCTCTATCAATAGGAACATTTCCTCCATTTTCTCTTCCATATGAATTTTCCATTCTTCATTTTCCAATCTTCCTTCCGTTATAAAAACAGAACAGAACACAAAAATAATCACTCTTTGAAGACAAATCATGTTGATAAATGTACAATGTCTAGAATAATTCCTTATCACAGACCTAATTTTGCACAAACTATGACCCTCAGGTAATGTGTGCCAATCCTTTGATTCATATTTATTTTTAGGTACTTTGAAAATATCCATGAATGCACTATACAGAATTCCAACATAATTAACAAATATAATCATGAGTTCAGTACCTTGTGTTAAAACTTAAGGGACTCCGATCCTCAGCCAGGAAGGACAACTCTTTAATTTATAATTTAATTCAAAAAGTCTCAAAATAAAGTTGAAAAATTAAATCTTTTCATGCAACAATTTTCATTTTATACCTCTCAATGTGCTTCAAGGTTCTTTGAAGTTCTCAGAGTTGTCTAATCAAAAGTCGAAATTTTTACCCGTAAAATCATTTATAAATTACATATATCAAGAAACAGATTTTCATTTTAATCTAACAATAGATACCAATGTTTATGAACATGATTATGAAATTAGAAGTCATTTATGAAGCTTTTCAATGACAGGAGAATATGTATACACTTTGTATTTTAAAATGATCAAAGTAAATAAAAGAAATTGAAGTACATTATATGTATAAAAATTGTGGAATTTCTTCAAAAGCCTGGATACCTATGATTTTTTATTTTTAAAATGTGATAATAGATCAAATTTGAATTGGAAAATGCATAGCAGGTTTTTTCATTCGCATTTCCTGAAAATATATTTGAGATTTACTAATTTTCCCTACATAATATGATTAACTTGAAAGATGAAGTTTGAAGAATTATTATGGGTAAAAACATGTTACTTTGAAAATTCAGAGACATTTTTGTGAGCATTTTCAATTAGTCAATGCTTGATTTTCAGAACCTGAGGATCGGAGTACCTTAATATCTTCATTTTTATGTGAACGGCCAAGAAGAGCGTTGTGCATTGGGATATGCCCTGGACCATAATCCCTAGGTGAAAGACTGGGAATAAATTCGCTATGAATTATGACTCATTATCTGAATTTTATAACAGTTTATACACCGAGTTATTTATATAATGTATCTAAAATTTTGATTCATTGGTAAAAAAAATACTTTAAAATACAAATCATAAAACGTTTATTGTGGTTCTGCTACTATTTAAAACCAATGCACGTTAATCATATTATATATGACTAGTTATTGATTGATTGCTGTTTCACGTCCCATTCCAGAGACGCCACCATAGACCGATGCAACGCTTTAACTTTAGGCCTTTGCTCGTCATTCTGGGATCTTGTTGAGTGAGGGATATCAATCTTGCCAACGCCTGCCTCTGACAATGGGTCTCGGTTGTTGAGGTCTTATTCGTGAAACCCACACTTTCGCTTCAAAGTGCTAAGCCCTTGACGAAGGAACAGTTGCTCCCTATTCGATATCGACTTAGGTCACTCGCAACCAGGGTTCGAACCCATGAACTCCTTGTGTGATCCTCGGGTACTCGACATAAACACAAAGAATGATATTATCGCACTTACTTAAAGGGCCCTCTACAGAGTACAAGTAGATTTATCTGCCAGGAGTTACTGCAAGTTAAGCCCATGATGGGAATACAGACAGTAACTTTATACCCCCTGCTTGACAAGTGGGAACGTGTACAGTGATCAGGATGTCCGTCCGTCCGTTCCAGCTGTACGTCCGACTTTCATAGATTCTTTATTACATATTGCCATTGTGCACCTCCTATTTTACTTTTTGATTTGACACGTATTTTGGGTCTCCAAGAGCAAAACATGTACTTAGCCATTATACCTGATAGTTACATAAGAATCAGGGGTATCATTTAGTGAGCTCGGTGCGCACAGTACCTCTAGTTTTAATTTAACTTGTAATGAAGTATAAAGACCTCAAAAAAGAATAACAACCTCCAACTTCATCGATATTTTCCGGATATATTTTTTACAATTGGAAATGCTCATTAGAAGTCCGTTTTCCTTCTTTTTTGTCAAGCATTTTTAGGCGGTAAGTATGTAAGAGTTTTTCTCTCTCCCACATCCCCCTCCTTTCATAAACAATGCTATGTCGACGTCAATGACTAGGATATGTGAAGCGTAGTTTTACCCTTGACTGGTTAGTTAAAGAACTTAGATTCAATCCAAATTTTGAAATGCACTCGAAATCCATATATGTTTATTAAGAAGGACTGTAATTCGTACTTTTATGTCGAAAGTGTATTTTGAGCAATGTGTGAGACGTACATGACGTAGTCATAATTATGAGGAAAGCTTAAGCTAGACCAAAATGTCATGATTTTATTATATTTTTGTGTACTTCTCAGCTTTTCAGATTTTTTTAACTTCCTGATTAAATAATAAATCACTAATTCAAATTTTTTAATATAAACATAAATGTTTTCATTTTTTCATTCATACAAAGCAGTTTATTTGAAAAGTTCTCATCAACTAAATGTATCTAACTTCAGAAAACAAAAAGGTTATATCGACCAAAATCAATAACTTGATGAGGTAAATGGACAGTCGGGTTATGCAAGAGTCGTGTTATGCGGCGTATTGCACACTTTATTATAAAAATGTGTTAATTTCAGTCCCTCGCCTTATATAAATCAAAGTAATGGAAACAAGGTAACTATTTTGACTTGCTAACAGGAGTTGGGGCTATATCATTTGTCCAAAAAGAATGGCTTGGAATTCCTCAAACGCATCTAAAGCAGTGTCATACGAGATAGATGCAGTGGAAAATTATTTTCTGTTGGTTACAGCTTTCATTATAGTGATTTTGAATAGTTTTGCAGTCTTAATTCTCAAGAGGAGTGAAAAACTACCTTATCAGATTGCCATTATATCTATGAATCTATGCATTTGTGATCTTGGAACAGGACTGATACTCATTGTTCCAAACATTTGGTTTTACAAACTTTCGGGGTGTTACGTGAAAAAGTACTTTTTGTTCACAGCTTTACGCGCTTCCTTTTTAACTGTAACATTTATCAATATAGACCAATGCTTTGCTAGCTACTTTGTTTTCTACTATGACAGAATGGTAACGCCAAGAAAAGTAAAAGTTTGTTGTGCTGCTATATGGATTTTTGGATTTATTCTTGCTTATATATTGTATTTTAATGGCGAATCGAATACAGCAGGTATTCAGTGTTTAGAATACAGCGTCGGGCAAGAAAATCCTTTTTCAGTTTATATTATTTTGGGAATACTAATATTTGACTATGCGATGTTTGGCTATCTTTCGTATGTGACTAGGAAAAGCAAGCGAGTTTCACCACTGGAACACAGATTTCAAATAACTCAAATGTCCCGTAAAAACTATTCAAAACTTTCCGTGATTATTGCCATATTTTTTGTTCTCCAGTCACCAGCAGTGATATACTTTGCTCTCGTACATCTGTGTGAGATCGAAAGAAAAACTATACTGGATTTCTTTTTTGCCTCTATTCGTCTTTTGAACTGTATAATAAATCCATTTCTATATATTGGTAGATTTCAGGAGAGTAAATTTCAGTTAAAACTACTGTTAACGTCATGTAACAGAGAAAGGAGAGATGAGATTAGAACAGAAAGAAGAGAATATTTTTCCACTTACACAATTCCATTAAATTAATGATCATTCGAAACCTATCAATGAATAATAGCTTTTGTTTTACTTTAATCATTGAATTAAAATAATCATTAAATAATACAAATCATTTGCGTTATAAGTTTTTCTTATTAATCACTTTTTATTCTTTTTTTCATTTAAAGAAAGGAATGATATATAAAGATAAAACATATAAATTTGTCTCCGGCTTCATGAGTACATGAAGTATATACAGCGTACAAACTTATATGTGCCCCTAATATTTCGCATTTTTACACATGAAAACAATTTTCCCATTTAAAATTCGCCCTGTCATAGTTCTGTTTGACTTTGAATTCGCCCCGATTCAATTCACCAAGCTGAAAGTAGGGCGAAAGGGGTGGATATATGAATATTTTGGACCAATACTGGAAATCAAAACTATGTGTAAATTGATGCTCCTGAATCATAAATTATCATTCAGTAGAATAAAGAAAAGTTTTGAAGATACTTTTTGGAAAAAAATGAACTTATCTAATGTTTCTCTAAATTCTCGATAAATGAAGGATATGATGAAACATCTACTCGTATTTTTTATTTCCAGAATTAGTTAAAACCTCTCACAGAGGAAGCTTGATTTCTCAATAAAAGTTGACGATTTTTTTTGTTTTTGTAGAAGTCCAGGAATTTAGAGATAGATTTTCTAAATGAACTGAGGTGCAACACTCTGCTTTTTTGCTACGTTCTGCAGACCTATACTAAGTAGACATGAATTTTAACCTTAATTTACTTTGCAAATTGTCGTGATATACGTTCATTAGATTAAGGTATACCTTTACTCAGATGACTAAAAATCCCACTGATAAGAACGAAAAATCACCTATTGCACATTGTACACCTATAATTCATGTGTTAAATTTCAATTTCAAATAACTAGGTCAATGACCTACTTTTCAAGCTAGTAGTCCCTGAATATTTCTCGGGAAATACCTCAAATTTTCACTCTATGACCAATTTTTTCTTCACTCACAAAATATCACAAGCAACAAAACTCTTTAAATAATGAAATATTATAGCAATGGAACAGTGTTGCTTCATATTAAGAAACGATTAGAGTTTTGGCCATAAACTTGATAATTAGTACAGTCCGAATTTCCTCTGTCATAGTTATACCCCCCCCCCCCCCATTTTTAATCGAATATTTTAAAAATCTGACTGAAAAGAACTCTAAACTATTTGTTATACAATTATGGACTCTTTTGGTGTTGAATATGGTTTGTTATTCACCAGAAAAATATACATATTGACCGCGGCGAAGCCGAGGTCAATATGGATATTTTTCTGGTGAATAACAAACCATATTCAACACCAAAAGAGTCCACAATTGTTTTATTATATAGTCGGGATTTGAATAGATAAGACATTGAAGGCTGTATGACGACACCATTTTCATTTGCGATCTTCCATTGTTGAAAATTAAAAAAAATCT